CGGGCTCCCCGGGGCCGCGGCGCCCTGAGGGGCCGGCACCGCGCAAGGGCCGGCTGGGCACCCACCCCTACTTCTCGGACAGCCGCCACTTCGGCCGCGAGCGCTTCGGGGAGTGCGGCTCCGACTACGGCCGGGGCAAGCGCGATGAGTACGGCTTCGACGAGAGGGGCCACGAGGCCGAGCACCACTACCGGGGCGGCCGCGAGGAGCACTACGACAGGCACCGGGACAGCTGGAGCTACGAGTACCGCAGGGAGAGCTACAGAGAGGCCAAGTGGCACTCGGCGCGGCATTGATGGACTCGAGGGCAAAGCAAATGTGACCTGTTTCTCACTGAGTACATGTATAAACCCCCGCTCCCCAAAAAATCCACCAGTGAAGTCACCTTTTAGTGTTTGTAAAAATACCAGCAGGGCAGTCCTGCCAAACTCTGGTCTCAGTATTAAATGTGTTAACTCACACTTCAGGGCTTTTCACGGGGTGAAAATCCGTGGTGAAGTTTTGGAGAAACCACCCCTCTGTCCTTGTGTCACAGAGAAGTGATGTTAGTGTTTTTTTAGGAGAAAGGAACATCTGTGTCAGGTGGAAGGATCTGGTGTTTTAAGCACAGTTGAGGTGGGACAGATGCTGCCAGCATCTGTAACCTCCCTCATGTAGTGTTTTATACAGTTGTAGAATCACACAGTGATCTGGGTTGATAGGTACATGAAGGACCACCTCACTCCAAACCCCTGCCAGAGGAAGGGATGCCTTCCACTAGACCAGGCTGCTCAGAGCCCCACCCAGCCTGGTCTTGAACACTGCCAGTGATGGAGTATCCACAATTTCCATGGGTAACCTGTTACAGTGCCTAAGCACCCTCACAGTAAAGAATCCTTTCCTAGTATGTAATCCAAACCTACTCTTTTTCAATTTGAACCCATTTCCCATTGTCCATTTAAAATATTACAATGTTGTCTTGGAGAACATTAAAAATCTCCCTGGGGAAAGCCCCTGGGTGAACCTCCGCCTTTGAGTCGGGGGCAGCGGAGCTGCTCCGTGGGGCCGGTGTCGGGAGGAGCGCTCCGGACAGCCTCGGACTAGATCTCCCAGCAGCCCTCGCGGCACATCCACACCCACAGAGCGCGGGCGGGGCCGCGGGGGCCGCCGGGAGCTGTAGT